GTTTGAACCACCAGCCTTCTGGTTAGCAGTCAAGTGTCTTAGGCACTACTCTACCAGAGCTCCCAGGGGCAAATTTAGAGGCCCTAATATATGGCATAAATAGACTCTCAAGCATAACCCAAACTGCATAAACAGCAGAAGATAAACTAGATGAATGGAACCTTGTAAAAATTAAATTTTTATGTGTTTCCAAAGACTTCTTCAAAAGAGTAAAAAGAGAACCTACAGATTGGGAAAAAATATTTGGCAATGACATATCTGACAAGGGATTTATCTCTAAAACTTATGGAAAACTCCAACAGCTCAACAATAAAAAGACAAATAATCCAATTTAAAAATGGGCAGAAGACATGAATAGACACTTCACCAAAGAGGATATTCAGGCGGCCAACAAACACATGAAGAAATGTTCATGATCATTAGCCATTAGAGAAATGCAAATCAAAACAATGAGATACCATGTTGTCCCAGCACTAGTAGCAAAATTCAACAAGACAGAAAATAAATGCTGGCAAAGATGTGGCAAGATTGGGACTCTCATACACTGCTGGTGGAACTGTAAAATGATACAACCACTGTGGAAAGCAGTATGGTGAAAAAGTTGGAATTAGAAATACCATTTGACCCAGCATTCCAATACTAGGTATATATTCCCCAAAGAAAATGACAGCCAGGACAAGAACAGATAAATGCACACTCATGTTCATCGCAGTAGTATTTACAATAGCAAAAAGATGGAAACAACCTAGGTGCCCATCAACAGAAGAATGGATAACCAAACTATGGTACATACACACAATGGAATACTATGGAACCCTAAAGAATAATGTAGCATCTGTAAAACACTACATAACGTGGATGAACTTGGAGGACATTATACTGAGTGAAATAAGTCAATCACAGAAGGACAAATACTGTATTAATGTGTTATTGTAAAAAGTCAAGGAATGGTTTATATATAGAAGGAAACTTTCTTTGCTGTTACCAGGGGTGGGAAGGGAGGGTACGGAACACTGTTAGATAGGTAGAGATAAGTATCGATTTGGGTGAAGAGAAGGGCAATGTACCAAATGTGAGTGATCAACAGTGGCACTGAGGAAGAGGAAGACATAGAGAGGTGCATGGGAGGTATAGACAACAAAGATGAACCCTTTTGCACATATAGTACTGCATTGTTAGTGATGACAAACATTAATATACGGGTGGATAGATGGTGGACAGGCTGAACTATTAGGTATGTCTATGCAGGTGGTGGGGAGGGAGTGTGCCCATGTTCAGGTATAGGGTTGGCAGACAATGTTTCTACAAGCATATCTGTATGTTCTGTAACAATGTCCAGGTATATAGCAGAGCTGACAAGGGACAAGGTTGTAATAATTTCTTTGCCACAGCCAGCTACCCAGAGGGAGTGAGTGAGTAGTTGGACGTGTGGGCTCGGGACCAGGGGACATCAAACATAACATACTGCACAAAAACATTGTTCCACATACTACTTTGGTGAATAGCGACTGGGATCTTAAAAGCTTGCAAGCAGCCATCTAGATGCAACAATGGGTCTCTCCTCATCCAGGGCAAAAAGAACGAAGAAAACCAAAGACATATGGAAACAATTAGTCCAAGGGACTAGTAGACCATGTGATCCTCCACCTATATGACTATGAGACCAGAAAAACTAGATGGTGCCTGGCTATCACTGTCAACCCCTTGGAGTGGGATCTATGTAGGAGATCCTGAATAGAGTGGGAGAATAATGTGGAACAAAACTCAAAATCATAAAAAAAAAGGAACAGGTTTGCTGGTCTGATTGAGTCTGGTGAGGCTACGGCCCCTAGCTACCTTTCAGGTCTGGAATTGAACCCACTCCTGTGGCTTCCAGCCAAACAAGCATATGAGCTGACCATTTACATTAGGTAGATATACTCTTTGGAAAGAACAATCATGGGAGAATAGAAGAGCTGTGTATGCGCCAGGAGACAGGTGGGGGGCAGGAGTGCACGGGAGGGAAGGACACAGGGAAGAGGTAACTATGGGGAGGATGTGGGTTCCAGAGCTGTTGCATTGTGGGAGATTGCAGTCAATATCATAAAACAAAGTGTATGTGAACTGCTGTATGTAAAGTGAATTTGCTCTGTACACTTTCACCCAAACCACAATAAAAAAATTAAAACAAAAACAAAAAAAAATACCTACGATACAGCCACAGTAGTCAAAACAGCCCAGTATTGGTACAACAATAGACACATAGACCAGTGGAACAGAATTGAGAACCCAGAAATAGATCCATCAACCTATGGTCAGCTAATTTTTGACAAATGGCTGAAATCCATTACATGGGGAAGCAATGGTCTTCTTAACAAATGGTGTTGGCAAAACTGGATACCCATTTGCAGAAAAATGAAACAAGATCTGTACCTCATACCTTACATAAAAAACTAACTCCAGATGGATCAAAGACTTAAATGTGAAACCTAAGACTATAACGTTCCTCAAGGAAAAACTAGGGGCACATCTAGGGGCACTAATTTATGGCATAAAGAGACTGTCAAGCATAACCCAAAATGCACAAAGAGCAGAAGATAAACTAATGAATGGGACCTTGTAAAAATTATTAAATTTTTACGTGCTTCCAAAAACTTCTCCAAAAATGTAAAAAGAGAGCCTACAGATTGGGAAAAAATATTCGGCAACAACATATCTGACAAGAGACTTATGTCTAAAATTTATAGAAAACTCCAACACCTCAATAACAAAAAGACAAACAATCCAATTAAAATATGACCAGAAAACATGAATAACACTTCACCAAAGAGGATATTCAGGTGGCCAATAAACACATGAAGAAATGTTCATGATCATTAGCTATTAAAGAGATGCAAATTAAAACAACAGTAAGATACCATCTTGCCCCACCACTAATAGCAAAGTTCAACAAGACAGAAAATAACAAATGCTGGTGAGGATGTGACAAGATTGGGACTCTCAAACGGTGCTGGTGGAACTGTAAAATTATACAACCACTGTGAAAAGCAGTATGGCGATTCCTTAAAAAGTCAGAATTAGAAATACCATTTGATCCAGCAATTCCATTACTAGGTATATATTCTAAAGAACACTCATGTTCATCACAGAATTATTCACAATAGCAAAAAGATGGAAACAACCTAGGTGCCCATCAACATTAGAATGGATAACCAAAGCATGGTACATACATACACACAATGGAATACTATGGAACCCTAAAGAATAATGTAGAATCTGCAAAAACACGGCATAATGTGGACGAATTTGAAGGACATTATGCTGAGTGAAATAAGTCAATCATGGAAGGACAAATATAGTATTAGTTTATTATTGTAAAAATATTCTAATACCAGGAGTGGGATGGGGGGGGGGAGCACTGCAAAAATAATAATTAAAAAATAAATAACAATTTAAAAAGGGGACATGGTTTCAGGGAAGAAAAAAAATACACACACACACACACATATGGCTTTAATTTACCATGTGCCAGGCATCGTTCACATGTATTACTGCATTTCATTCTCACAACCTGATAGGTTAAGATTATTATTGTTCCATTTTACAGATGACGAAACCAAAACAAGCATAGAGTTTAAGTAAACTGCCCAGAATTGTGCTGTTAGTAGTGTTGTCAGTACTTGACTCAAGCAACTTGTCTCCTTAACAGTTATCCTCTGCTGCCTATGTACGCGCACACCCCCACCTTGTACTCCTGTTCAGACATGCGCATTTGCAGGAGATAGGAGGTGGAGGAGCTGAGGCTCAGTTCAGCCATGAGGGGGCAGCATAAGCCTAGCTTTGGCCCCTCGACCGTTTCTTCTTAGCAGAAAGAAGGCGGCAGTGGAAATTTCCTCCCACTCCCCACCAAGCCCTGCCCCCTCCACCCCAGATACCACCCTTTTTCTCTTTGGGGCACTTAAAGGCCACTTTAAGGAGTCTCCCCCAGCTCCTCCCACAGTGAAGACTGCAGAAACCATCCACTAGTTACGATGACTCAGAAGCTTTGTTGATTAAGTCTTGTGTATTTAAGTGTGTGTGTGTGGTGGCGTTGTGACTGCATGTGGCTCTGGGTGTTCACTTGTCTGTGAGCCTGCCTGCACGTGTATGTGTGAGTGTGTAGTCTTGCAGCCAGGGAAGATGTGAATGTGTGTTTGTTTTTGGGTGTGTCTCCATGTTTATCCCAGAAACAGACAGGAACTTCGCCAAGATAACGCAGCAGATTCATGTTCAAACCTGCCCCCTGGGAAGCTGCAGGCAGCAGCTCCGTGTGGTACCAGCTTCCACCAGGGTCTGAGGAGTGGCAGTGAGGGAGAAGGGGGCAAAGACTGTCTTTGGCCATGGGGCTCTCTCTTGAGTCTTCCAAAATTCTGAGCTGTGGGATCCCCTCCCGTGTGCTCTCCCATTAGTAGTCACACGACCTCTAAGGCGTTCCCTGCACAGAAGGGAGGGGTACCTAGGAGTTGTAGAAGGCATCAGGCTCCCTAGCTGCTTTTCAGGGTCCTCCACTGGAGGGAGCACGCAGCCCAAAGGGACTTGCTTTTCCGGAGGCCCCGGGGAGCCCTCCTGCGCCCAAATCCTAGCCCCCGTGAAAGCTTGAGTTTAGGAGCTAGACAGTTTGGGGTGACATGTTTCTGATTGCTATTAAGTGACTTCCTGGGGAAAAAAAAATGTATTGCTTCCCAGGGGGATGAACAAAGTGATTGGGGGCAGTCTCCCCTCCTGCCTAGCCCCAGGCCCCCAAGGCACAGCTTTGGCTCCCCTAACCCCTGTGCTCCCCTATCTGACACTGGAGGCACACATGCTCACCCCACTTTCTTCCTCTTCCTCCTCCAGCCTACTTTCTCTTCTCTGTGTCGTCAGAGCTCCAGGGAGGGACCTGGGTAGACGGAGAAGCCGGAAACAGCGGGCTGGGGCAGCCACTGCTTACACTTAAGAGGAAGGACGGGAGAGGGTTGTGTGTGTGTTTGTGTGTGTGTGTGTTTCTTTCTGGTGGTAGTGGTGGTGGTGGGGGTTGCTGGCAGGGCTGAACCTCAACTTGCTGGACAGAGCTACAGACCCATGGGCCCGGGCAGTGCCTGCTGAGAGAGGGAGAAGACAGCAGAGGGGTTGCCAAGGTGAGGGGATGCCTCGAGGAGAGGGGGAGGGACCTCTGGACCTCTGGTTATGAGGGAGGGTGGTTAGGGGGGATCCTCCTGGACAGGTTGGATGGTCCCTAAGAAGTTGGTAGCTGGTGGTGTTGGGTTTGGGCAAGTTGTGAACTCTCCAAGGACTCGGGGTGGACTCAGGCCTTAGCACCCCCACCCCTGCCCTTGAGTCACTTTCTCCACACCCCACCCTGGCACTTCCAGAGGGATGGAAAGCAGGGAAAGGCGGAGAAGGAAGGGCCTCTCTGATGGGGGGACGTGACTGCCCCTCCCTAGGAGGTTGATGCCAGAGGCACGGGGAGGGGGGGCATTACCCAACAAGAAAAATAACCACGGGTTTACTTGTGCTTTGCTTATTTACTAATCTAAACTGTTCACTACAGATTAGTAAATAAGCACAAATAAACCCGTGCTTACCTTCTTTACTGGGTACTCTGTCCCTGTCAGGGACTGTAAATTTGAAAAGAGTCTTTGATTCTGTAGGAAGGTGCTGTGGGGTTGGGAGAGAGACAGATGCCAGCCATACCTAGAAGCAGAATCTCTGATGTGGTGAAAACTGTGAAATTGTTTACTACAGATTAGGAAGTAAGCACAAGTAAACCCGTGCTTACCTTGCTTTTTGGATAATCCGACACTGGCCAGCGCGCATGGGTCCCAATCCTGACCCCCATAATGGTTCCTGTTCAAGGGTGTGGCCTGTCTCGGGGGGTAAGCGAGCCCCAGATAGAGACCTCATGGCGCCCCAGAGGAGGGGGAATTTCCCCCTCAAAACTGATCCACGCTTGGCTGCTGTAGACGCTGAGATTTCCCGGGGCGAGAAGCCGACTTAACCCTCCTCCTGCTGAACTGGCCCCGCCTTCCCTTCTCTCCCCTCCTGCACCCCTACCGCCACATACACACATTGGGCAATTCTGAGAAGCGTTTTTGACCTTTGATTCTGTTCACACGGCCACAGAACTTGGGAATGTAGGGGCTGAGTGAGCGGGTGTAGGCCATGCAGCGGGCTGACGAAGATCCAGGACGTAGGGCTTCCCTTCCCGGTTTGGGAGGGAACGTTGGCCCCGCCCCCTCACACCGTGGCTCCTCCCCCCTGACTCGGTTCTGGGGGTTTCAGGTAGAAGGTGCCCTATCTGGTCTAGGCCAAAGGACCCAACCTCGTTATGGGGTGGGGCTGGGCGTTATTACTCTGGAGGGGTAGGGGTGAGTGGGGGAGGGGATTTAAAGTCAGGGTCTTGCCTGGAGGCTGATCACTCAACAAGGGGATAAAAAGGAAAGGGGTGCTGCCTGTGGCTTGGGGCTCACTCCAATCCCCACCAGGACAGGTGTCAAGCTCAAAGGTCTGAAATCTCAGCCCCAGAAGAGGTAGGAGGAGCAGAGAGAGGAGAGGAATTAAGCCCTCCCAGAAATCTGAAACAGACCAATCTGCTCCAGAAGATGCCCCACCCCATGGAGAGGGGGGAGCAAGACCTGTTGCAGGACCCTGAGCAGAGAGTTAGAAAGGATTCTGCCTTTGGAAGAAAGGAGTTGAAGAGGGTAGGGAGTGGGGGTGGGCCAGGAGGATCTCCGTCCCTTTGGGAGCCCTAGGAGAGGGGAGAGGCTGAAAGTGCAAGAGGAGGGCTTGGGGTTACGGGGTGGGGGGAGACTCTGGGAGATTCCATTCTCATCTTCTGTTCATCTCTGGGACAGGGACACTATGTGAGAAAGGAGAGACTCCTGGGAATCCACTGGTTACACCCACCCTGCAGCCCACCTAGACAGGAGGCTGTGGCCCTCTCCCTCCTGCCCACATCTCCTTTGCTCTGTTCTCCCCCCCCCCCCCCCCCCCCTAGGCTTTTCACCTCAGGCTTATTAGCCCCACT